TCACATGTTGGCGGGCCGACCCGGCCCGGACCACCCGGATTGACACCTCTAGGGGCAGTGACACGGGTGGGGCGACAGGTAATGCGTGCCAACACTTGGATGTTCATTTTTTCCTTTTAAATTATCTAATCTATTTTCCATCGTTGAGTGTGTCATTGAATCTATTACCGTAACGAGATTGTATTTGTTTTCACTCTTAAGATATTCATGTTAGAGTCTCACTTCTTGCCTCTTGCGACGAGCTAAGAGGGAAGGTGAGCAAACGGGGAGTATGAAATATAAAAACAACCAAAAAAAATACTACTTTCACTCGTCTAAAAATTTATTTTCATATAAAAACCCTTTTTTTTTTTCTGAATTAAAAGCTTTTTTAGATCAAATATTCAAACTCCATTTGCTAAAAATTTATATATCATTTATTAATAGTCAAACTCAAACTTTGTTTTTAACCATAATACAATACATGCACAAATACTATCCACTTAATCTATGTTTGGTAGGGATTAAGTTAAAGTTAACAATTAATTCTAACAATATATTTTATGAGATCCACAAATTTTCAACCACACATTTCATCAACAATTTTATCAAAATCTACTAAAAGCCTTATTTTAATCCCACCGAAAAGTATTGTTAAGAGTATTTCCGAGACTATTTATTAAGAGGATTTTATGTATAATGGAGATCATCTTTTAAATTTAAAAAGTAAATTTTTATACATAATCTCTATTTTGATTCTTCATTTTACTTTTTTTCAATAAAAGTAAACTCCAAACTTTTCGTATATTTTTAACCATACATTCTCCAAGAAATTACTATTCTAAAATTAAATTCTCATTATAATTCCCCTTCTTGATAATTGAAACCATTTTGTTGACCTCCTTTTCCGTAGGGGTAACGTAGCAAACACGTAAGTGATCCATGTAGAATTTTCCCGCACACGGTAACAAATTGTTAATCACTCATGACCTTTTCTGGTAGTGGTGGAGGCGACCGCGAGTACTCCAACAATCAAGTCAATAAATGGTAAAGGAGAAAGAAATAGCACACTGGAATTCTCAGATCATAGAGCAAAGTGTATGTTTGAGTGCATATAATTGCATTACCATTGAAATGGCACTAAATGCGGATATTTTTATAGGGAAAGAGGTAAATTTAGGACCGTTGAATGGAGGGACAAGTGGTCGCATCTACTGGTCGATGCATCCTCTCTTAGGTAGCAATCAGTTATTTCCAAAGTGGGCAGGCATTTAATACTACCTAATGAGTGAATTTTGTGACTTAATCTTTTGGTGTATGCTGTACAAACATCATATTAATCAATAGTGTGGTCTTATTTTGCCTAGATTTTGATACAAAAGATCCCCTATTTAATATGGACGAATCGATGTGATAGTATTCCAGTAGCATCATTCCACGTCTTACCACTTCGTTGTATATCCTTTTGAGGTGTATCACTTCGGTGCTTCGGTCAAACGCGGATATACATGTTGACCACTTCACCTCGGCACTTCGACGACATAGAGTGACGTGAAGTGTAGACCTTGTTGATTTGCTTAATTGGCAGCCACGTTGGTGACAATCTAGAGTCTCTTCATAAAAGACGTAACACATCCAAAGTTGCCCACAAGGAATAAAATTTTGAAACCAAAGTGAAGTTCATTTAGAATGCATCACTTTTTTACTCTATGTTTGAGCCACGTTATTCTTCCAAGACTACATTTTAAATAGTGTTTTGATGGAAAATATGTGATTAAAAAATAAGGAAAAATTTTGGATTTGCGTGTAATATTATTTTTTGAAGAATGTGTGGTTGAAAATGAGTATTGAAAGAATGAATTTTAGGAAGAATGT